AGCTGTTCAAACCCAAGTTTGAGGACTCTTCAGTCAATCAGTCCTATAATTAGTAATCTAATTAGGGAGTTGCAGCAAAAAACCTACATACACACCGGCCCTTTGTGGATAAGATTGGCCACCCCTGGATTAGGTGATCTGATCTGATTTCCGAATCCCTCATTTCCCTTTGAACAACCCGTTTTCAAGATTCAATCCAATTCGTTATTTGAAATCCCATTGGATTACTTTTGAGCAACTGGGCCCTGGATTGCGGCAACTACAGGGGGATAACACTGCTTTCAGTGCTGGGATAGGTCCTTGCTAGGGTCCTCCTTAACAGGATCCATCATCACTTCAATTCAATTCTTTTATTGACATGTGTACAAGTACGAGTACCGTGTACAATGAAATGCTTGCTTGCTTGCATGTGCGCCTGCAGATAGTGAACATAGACATCAAGACGACAAGTGAATGTAATGATGAAGTGAATTATAAATAAGTAAATAAATAAGACTAGAGTCCCAGGAATAAATGGAGACAGTGGCAGAAATATATGTGTGGGTAGCAGTGGAGGTGACATTACTGATTGTTCATGAGTCTGATTGCAGTTGGGTAGAAACTGTTCCTGAACCTGGAGGTGTGCGTCAGAATGGACTTTAGTCGCTTCTCAAAGCGACATGGACACTATCTCAAAGTCGCCTGATATGGTTCACTTTCCTGAGACAGCGCATAGTGTGGATGTCATGGATCGCAGGGAGCTGTGAGCCCGTGATCTTCTGTGCTGAGTGCACCACCCGCTGCAGAGCTCTGTTGTTCTGAGCTGAGCAGCTGCTGTACCAGGATATGATGCATCCTGTCAGGATGGATTCCACAGTACACCTGTAGAATCTGCACAGGGTTGTGGGGGACATCCGGGCTTTCCTCAGTCTCCTGAGGAAGTAGAGGAGTTGTTGTGCTTTCTTGACTATTGCCGCAGTGTGACTTGACTGTTTAAGGTCATCAGTGAGGGTGACTCTGAGGAACCTAAAGCTGCTGACCTGCTCCACAGCCTCACCTCCGATGTAGATGGGGCTGTGCTCTGTTGCCTGTTTGCGGAAATCCACAATCATCACTTTAGTGTTGTTAAAGTTGAGGGTGAGGTTGTTGTCCTGACACCATTCTGCCAGGAGTCTGACCTCCTCCGTGTGGGCTGTCTCATTGTCCTCACTGATCAGACCTATTACGGTGGTATCGTCAGCAAACTTAAGGATAGTGTTAGAGCTGTACAACTATGCAGTCATGGGTGTAGAGAGAGTAAAGCAGGGGGCTCAGCACACCTCCCTGCGGGGTGCCAGTGTTGATGGTGATGATAGAGGAGGTTGCCTGTCAGCGACCGGAGCAGTCTGGTTTTACGCCTAAGAAGTCTACCATCGACCGTATCTTTGCACTGAGGGTTCTCATCAAGGTCAAGCGCATAATTGGCATAGGTTCTTTGTAGCCTTTGTCAATATATTGTTATTAAATTTTTTATATTTTAATCAGTTATTACATCGTGATTATTCAAATGAGGATGCCATATTATTTGTTAAATCTATAGAGCTGGACAATAGCTTTAAAACAATATAAGGACCACTTCTGTGCAGCTTACATTAAGGTAAATGTAGCCAAAATAATAGCCCCCCCCCCCCAAAAAAAAAGTTAAAACTTTGTTCATTTATAGCTCCCTCAATATTGATCCCAGACACACCCAATTTCAGTTTCATGAGTTACTCGTGTGACCAAATCAGCATGCCAAGTTTCGTTAAAATCCGTGATGATGAGGTCCGAAAGTGTGATTTGACATGGAATGACCCACCTGCATTGTGAGGGAGCGTCAGTTAAAGCACTGTGGCCATGTGGCGCGTTTCCCTGGTGGTTATCCGGCTCGCAGGATCCTCATTGCTGAGGACCCAAGCAGCTGTACCAGGCCAAAGGGACCCCCACATAACACTTGGCTGCGGCGCATGGATGGCCATTTCCGGCAGGTGGGATTGGACCGTATACCTGCCTGGGAGATCGTTGGCTGGGATCCCGAGGAGTTTCGCTGTGTGGTGGGTGCGGCAACGCACTGCATCAGCACATGC